ATTGGCCAAGAGGAGGATGGATGAACATGAGACCTCAACGCTGAGGTCTATTAGATCTGCAGCGCTGCAGCTGGAATGGGCACAAGTCCAACTGGAACTGGACTTCCATCTGCGTGTACAGTGCATTCAGAAAGTATTCAGACCCCCCTTCACTTTTTACATGTTGTTATGTTTCAGCCTGATACTACAGTTGTTTAAATTCTTTTTTTTTTCTCATTAATTACCACTTAGTACCTCATAATGACGAAGTGAAAACATAATTTTAGTATTCAGACCCTTTACTCAGTACTTTGTTGAAGCACCTTTGGCAGCAATTACAGCAATGGTGCAGAAGTCCCATACTACTGGCAAATGAAATGAAGCTTGTGATGGGTTGATATGGGCAATACATTTCTTACAAACACTTCCATACCTGAGGCCTGGGGTCATTAAAATGGACTTTTGTATCTGTATTTACAGCAGCCCCCTGCGTCCTCTTGCTCTCAATGTGAACAGAGAATATTATTACATTATTGCCTTGTGATTGGAGACTCACAGCAGAAAATGACATGTCCCCAGTGTCTGCTTTGTAGAAATAACAGCTCTTGGCTGCTGTGATATACCGGTGATCATTAGACTGACTGCTTCAATAAAAAGTTTGGCCGGCTAAATCCTTTACCAAGGGGTCACATATGCTGAAACGGTATAATACAACGGGATGCCAGGGACCTGTTTGGAGAGCTGTCACATTTGCTACTATTGATTTTTCAGCTGAGCAGATTCACACTTACGCTTCTGATGAATTGATGTTCTGATCACACTGACACTGTACTGTATGTCAGGAATTTATCGACCTTCACTTCATTTCTTCCTATTGCCAAGATCTTGGGGAGAAAAAAAGGCTGTTCTCACTTCTGTGAACAGCAGCAGTTAGCACTGATGTGTTTTTTAATATGTCCTCATTGACCAGACCGTAAAGGAACCCACAAAAACATTAATTGTTGAGTTAGATTTTATAGATGCAGGCTTTAGGGTCATGTCATCATCCTGGACTACCTAGTGGACCATTGATCTGGAACATGCAGGCAGGATGTTAAGAAAAGTATACATAAACTCTAACAATCAGCTCTCCATATTGTTTCCCTTTTGGTCTGTTAAATATATTATTGCAAGATTTTCAGCATATATGTTTGATAAGCGCAAAAAATTCATGTTGACCATTTCAGAAATCCTGAGCTGTCCTGTGTCCTCTGCACACTTCCTGTGTTAGTTTAAAGAGACTGTTTAGACCTCCCAGTTCTTATCTTGGACTGCAGAATAATTTCCCTTTGTGTTGTACTGATCTGAGAGTTAAAGGGGTTCAGTAGTTTAGTAAAAGACATTGGGCAGGGTTGACAGCACTCAGTTACAAAACATTGTGTGTTGTCAACCTGCAACAAGATTTAGGATCTGAGTTCATTTTAGGCAAATCAATAGGTATTTTGCAGTACTTGCAGAGATAAAACACAGAGAAATATTTATGTATTGCAGAGATGTACTGCGTGTTTTTTTTTTTTTTTTGCCTTGACATACGCTCAAAAAGGTAAAGGCAGATTCTTTTTTTATTTTTTTCAGTTTTGGAGTAGGGAGAGTTTTGTCAATGAGTAGGGAGGGTTTTGCCAAGTTTACACACTGGAAAGATTTGGCCCTCTGTTTGTCCTAGTGATCGTCACCGTGACACAAAGTAAGGGGAAAACAAAATTTTAGAGCTGTCCCTAGAGCAAGAGGTGACGGAAAAAAAAAATCCTCAAATGGGAACAACTCAAACATGGGAATTCCATCCACTTTGGGGTACTTTCACTTCCTGTTTCACTTCCTGTTGCGACTCCAGTACAGGTAGGGAAGGGAAATCTCCCCAGCAGGCCACAGAAAAAAATTACCTGATAGGAATTTTAACCCTTCCTTACTCTAAAATGAAAACACACACAAATACACATTTTAAAGAGAAGCTGAACTCTGGAAGCTGTGACCAATAAAAGACAGGTAAAGGGCAGATGATTAATCATCAGTATTGCCTATATTACTGACTTTCCATGCCTTGTTTCACACCATGTCTGTATGGAAATGGCCATCTTGGTAAAGTCAGCATTTTGTTTCTTTAGGTCAGAGCCTCCAGCAAGGAGAACAGTGAGCAGTACAGCACAGTGCATTGCGGTACCGCTCAGTTCGAATGGCAGTGCAACATATTTAAGCGGTAAAGCACAATGCTCACTGCAATGCACATATGTGAACCATCTGTAGGGCATTGTCATGTTGGGCCCTTAGACCTGGGTTGTCCCTTTGAGGGGACACCATTAACCATTGTGGACATTTCAGCTGTTTTAGTTATTTATGATCATGCCAAAACCTATGTTTAAGTAGCAGGGACTTTGATATTTGTCTGGAAAATTGTATATGTGTATAATAAAGGTGGGTGCTTGATTATTTGTTGAGATAGTTGTACCTTTTTGGAAATGCCCTTGTAGGCAGAGGCGGCTCTCTAATTAGGCAAGTTAGGCGGTTGCCTAAGGCCTCGCGCTCACGAGGGCCTCGCGGCCGCCTAGCTCGCCTCTGCAGCTTCAACTAACCTGCCTCTGGTCAGTCCGCCCCTGGGCTTGGAGGGAGCAGCCATTTCCTCACGAGGAGAATGAGCGCCAGCAATTCCCCCGCAGCCACCGCACCGCAACACCCCTCCCCCTTCCTGGATATGTCAAGGTGCATTGAATTCAATGGCACTGCTTCCGTGCCCCCCCCGGTCGCAGTGCGATCAGAAGGATGGCAAAACATTGCCTGCGTTCCGTCCCACTGCAAAAGCAAAAAATAGAGCATGCAGCATTTTCTGCAGTTGAACAGAAAGCAGGCAATGTTTATAGCTAGTTTGCTATTGGCTAGTGCAAAGTGAAATAGCCAATAGGAATGTAGCTATGCATTCCTATGCTGATTTTTTTTTCTGATGACGGCGGCCGGCGGCTCCGATGTCAGGAAAAAAAAGAAGACACTAGAGCAGAAAAAGGTTTACTCTGCTCGATCGAGCAGAGTAAACCTTTCCAGGAGAAAGTGTTTCTCGGCCATGTGGCGCTATCTAATAGCGAGAGACTCCTGGAGTGTCTGGGAGAGTTGGGATGTAATGACAGATCAGCGTCCCTGGTAACCAGGGGACGCTGATCTGTCTCTGCAAGTGGCCGAAGCCAGCCGTGAGATCACGGCTGGCTCCGCCCAGCTGTCAGTAGCAGGCTGTCGCCCGGCCAGCTTCGGCTTTCACCTCGGCTCAGTCAAGCCGAGGCATATGCCGAGGCAACTTCGGGAGCAGGACGGGCTATAGTGAATAGCCCGTACAGCAGCCCTTCGGTCCTACTGAACCGAAGGGGTCCTGGTGCCGAAGCTAGCCGAAGGATCAGCCGAAGCTATGTCTAGATCCTTCGGCAGCTTTGTGAATAACCCCCTATGTAAAAAATCCAGCTGCCCAATACCAGTGAGTAGATCCTTCTTATTGTGTTTACTACTGAACTGTGCGTTCCTTACATCTGACCACTGCACACTGTGCGTTCCTTACATCTGAACTCTGTGCGTTCCTTACATCTGACCTCTGCACCCTGTGCGTTCCTTAGATCTGCACTCTGTGCGTTCCTTAGATCTGACCTCTGCACTCTGTGCGTTCCTTAGATCTGACCTCTGCACTCTGTGCGTTCCTTAGATCTGACCTCTGCACTCTGTGCGTTCCTTAGATCTGACCTCTGCACTCTGTGCGTTCCTTAGATCTGACCTCTGCACTCTGTGCGTTCCTTAGATCTGACCTCTGCACTCTGTGCGTTCCTTACATCTGACCTCTGCATTTTGTGCGTTACTACTGATCTCTTTGCGTTACTTATTACTGACCTCTGTTCTCTGTGCGTTACTTAATCTGACCTCTGCATGTTACTCCCTTAGGGTTATGGTTTTGCGTATAGTTGTTTGTAGAATTAGATATGAGACAGAAATAAGATTCTAGCTCTAGAAGCTGTAAATTCCTGGCTGCTGGGATTAAACGCTCGTCTTACAATATGCAATGTATACAGTTCATTTTTAATTATTGTTTGCATTTTCTTTCAATATGGGTGTAAGTGGGGGCCTCACGTTTGAGTTTCGCCTAAGGCCTCACAAAGTCTAGAGCCGCCTCTGCTTGTAGGTAATGTGTGATATGGTTGTGTTTTTACTAAGTAAGCATAACTTTTATGCCATAGAAAACCTTGCAGAGCACTACAGAATGACAACAGAGACGCATTTGGCTGAACCAATATTCCACCTTGAAGGGAAAACCTTCCCCAAAGTCCAGAGTCATCAGATACTCACAGCGGTCTACTATGTCTAAAACTGGCATTGGACATGTGCCTACTGATCTTCTGGCCACCTCTCTTATGGTTACACATAAACTGCAAGTCTCTTACCCATCATCCTCTCCAACCATGTGAAATTTTACATCAGACTTCAGATGGGAGGTAATGGGAGTGCCCACACTGGCTGCCGAGCAGAGAGAGAAAGGCAGAACAGGGATGATATCTCTTCTGTCTGCCGCCCTGGTAGAGTCATACTAGGCACAAGAGACAGAGCATAGATTTATTATATCTGTAGTCTTAGAAAATAGCAGTTTCAATATACAAGCTAAAGCAACCATGTTGCTAATGTGATATTCATGGAATCAAATGCTCTCTGCACAGCGTAAACTCTGACTGGAGGGTCCTAATTTTAAAAGCAGAATTTACCTTTAAAAGGAACCTGTTAAGATACAAATATGGATTAGATGGGAACTGACTTGTTATTTTAAACATTTAGCTTCTGGGATTGTCGTTCTGAACCAGGTAAGAAACCCAGAAAGTCCAGAGACAGCCAACCAACCAGAATTTTTAGAAGGGGAGGTCAGCAATGTCAGCCTCCATATTGTTCTCTGATTTCCTTTAAAGCCCAACTTCAGCCCAATTTTTTTCTTATGCCTACCTGAATGTTTAAAACAAACCCTCACCTTCAATATGCAGCAGTACCTCTTCTGTGCTGCAAGATGTCCTCAGTCTTCCGGGTTGAGTGACACCCAGAGTCAGCCAACCAGGAAGACTGTAAATGCAGGGTGTCATGAAGCCGCTCCATGTGCACAGCACCCTGCACTCACAGTGTATTGATGCAGAGAGCAGTGCTAATATATTAGCATTGCTCTCTGTATCATCCAGGATTGGATGATACCGGAGAAGAACAAAAAGAACCCAGCGCATCACTTGACCAGACAGAAGACACTGGAAAGTGGTAAGTAAAAAAAGGTAAGTAAAAAAAATGGATAAAAAACAGCTGGTGGAGGATAAAGCGGTCACTGGGAAGGAGGGGGAGCATGGAGTGCAAGTTTTGATGTAAACATATCAAACAATATGTTCTTCTTATAGGAAGTCATTGTTTGGACTGTTCCCTTATAATCCAAATATGATTGGACTAGAATCCCTTGCCGACCCCTCGGACACCTGGGAAATTATTGACACTATTGGAAAAGGTACATATGGAAAGGTTTACAAAGTCAGTAACAAGAAAGATGACAGTCTGGCCGCTGTAAAGATCTTGGATCCGATCAGTGTAAGTTTACAACATTTATCTATGTCTGGTTATTATATTTAAATCTATGATATTACTGCCATACAGATAACAATCGGAGTTTGATAATAATGGTCCATAGAGGCAGGTATGAATTCAAAGGAATATATAATAAAACCTTTACTATGTAAATTCCACAATTCCACTTTCAATGTAGACAGCATGGGAAATAGTAATATACCTCCATGTGGTTTTAGGATGCATTTGTTTTCTACCAGATTTGGATTGTTTTTTTACTTTAAAAGAATTAGAAGAGGGCAAACAGAAAGGAAAATATATTTAAAACTTAATTTCCATATGTGCTTCTGAATTGATATGTCAACAAATTAATTTCAAATTAGACTCCAGATACGCATCATTAAACCCAGCTAACGCCAGAGTGACTTCAATTTATTAGAAAAATAATCTGTTTCATTTCACATATTTTAATTAAATTGCTTTTTGAAGATACATTCCTTCTGCATTTTTAAACAAATTGCTGTAATATTTAGACTATTTGCGGCTTTATAATATGTTACATAATGCACTATCACCATTAAAGAGGATTAAAATAAGCTTTCCATTAATGGTTACATGATCACACTTCCTGTTTCCATTTAAATGGAGATAAATAGACCAGAGCAAAGGATTACATGCCATATGTATGTAGAAGGGTTTGTCACAGGGCAGGAAGGCAAGTGAGCTGTTAGAAAATTCAAGGCAAATGACAGCAAAGGCTAATTTTGTAGTAAGTAGTAAGAAAAATGTGGTATATCTCTTTTACAAGTTAACATGGGCTTTGCTCATGCAAAGCAAAGCAACAGGTTCACGTTCATGCCCCAGGTGCACATACTCAGCTTCCCTTTGCTCCCCTGCTACTACATTCAGTCATTCAAAGAAGACCAAATCCAATGTCACATGGAGTGAGTCACATGCTCCTTCAATGGCAAGGAAGCAAAGTAAATGTGAATATATGCTGCTGGGGATCAGGCCTTTAAGCAAACCTGTTGCTTAAAGGTGAGTTAAATTATTCTAGGTTTCAATTACATCATTATGCTTAGGGAAACTATGTCATTAAGGGCTGCTGTGCTGTGAATAGTTAAGGTAATGATGCATTGCTCAAAGCTTATAGTGTTTGAGCACTGATTGCGATGAGCAGGAAGGAATCCAGTTGTGTAAAGGTGGCCATACACTCTACAACCATCGCAAGACCATAGTCTTGCGATGGTTGTACAGGGATTAAAAAAACTTACAATCTGCCTATCTTGGACAGGCAGATCGCACTCTCGATCATCGCAAGCCCGCCCCCCTGAGGGGCGGGCTTCCGATGACCGCAATGCTGAACGGGCAGTGTGCGCGTGCGCACACCGGCCCGTCCGGCATTTGTCTTCCGAGCGCCGTTCTAACCAGCCGAGAATCGTACGATTCCCAGCTGGTTTTCGAACATGCTGGTTCGACGGAAGACGTGCGACCGTACAGTAGAAACGGTCGCACGTCTCCGTTCACACTGCTCGATTCTCGCACGATCGCGGGATTTCCCGCGATTCTCGTACGAGAATCGAGCAGTGTATGGGCACCTTAAGTCTTTTCTAATGGTCGGTAACAAGTGCTTCTGATAATCAGTGCTCATTATGCAGATTTGTATGGATCCACTGTGTCACTGGTGTGTGCTCCCCCAAGGAGTGGAGTTTAAAGAGAACCAAGTCTTTAGTAGGCAGCACACTGGTGTCAGCTGGCAAGCACCTGGACCAAAGTACCAACTTTTCAGAAGGAAGTCAACAATGGCGGCCTACATATTTCTTTAAGTATACATTTAATGGCAGGCAATGGTGTTCCCTAGTTTGTGGTTGATCCTCCATGTATTCTGTTGGGTAATCCAGGAAGTGTGGGTAGCATAGAGAACAGCACAGGTCTGCATAAAGCTTAGTAAGGTATGTTACAACGTACAGGAACAGCTTAAGGTGGTGGGAGCCAGAGTGAAGGGCATGTTATTTATGGTCCCAACCAGCAGTGACCTAACTCAGCCCCTTCCCTATTAGTTGAGCATAGATACTAGATGGCAGACATATTTAGGCCATCAGTAGAAACCCCTGGCAGCCAGGAAAATCCAAACCAGCCAACTGAGTCTCTGCTGGGGTCTAAAAATGCTGAACACAACTGTCACTTTGCAAAGTTGGAATTGCAGAGAATACGTAACAATGGTCTACTTTGTTGATTAATATTACTATAACCTTGATAGTTTTCTTCAAAGCCTGAATAATCTTGTTTGCTTTCTCTTTAGGATATTGATGAGGAGATTGAGGCAGAGTATAACATACTGCAGTCACTTCCCAACCATCCAAATGTGGTCATGTTTTATGGAATGTATTATAAGGCTGATCAGTATGTTGGAGGACAACTTTGGCTCGTTCTAGAGGTAGGTGAAATCCAGAATATATAGTACTATTTATAGCACCATATTCAAACAGCAAATACACAAATCAAACATATAAAAATTATACTTTTTGGAAACCTGCAGTTCTGTAGACCCTGTGTCACTGACCTGGCAACAATTCTAAAAAGCAAAATGGCTTTCTTAAGAGGTTAAGAAAATAGATAATAGATATTTGTGACAAGGGTAGCAAACTATCAAATGAGGCCGACAAATGGGCAATACTCGAGAGTATATAGCCAACACTGGTGTTGGTGGAAATAAGTGGGCAACAAACAACTATCTTGGCAATATGTGCGCGCTGTGCAATAAATGAGCAATGGTGGCATTATGGGAGCAGCAATCAGGCAAATGTGGCAATACATGGGCAACAAATGAGGAATTGTGACAGAACAGGGGCAACAAATGGGACTCATGACAACACAAGACAAACAAACAGGCAATGGCAGTAATAGACAGGTAATAACATGAAGGGACAAAATTTGGAGCTCAGTCTGCTCCCCTTTACCCTTCACCTCTAAGTAGTTCTATTCACTTCTTCACTGAGAAGATGTGTGCGGCCAGAGGGGGGTGTTGGAGGTTGATATATCACAGCATGTACCTTCTTCCACATCTCACTTCTTCACAGCACAAACTCCCTGCTCTGCCCACTGCATTACTTACAAATTCTGTCCTTAGTACCTGTGTGTCTTGTCTTCTACCAGTAACCAGAATCAGAAGGTATTTCCTAGTTTATGGAGAACCCTTCTGTCTGACACAAATAGAAAGGGGTACTTGCAATGTGGAATTGTGGGTAAATCAAAGACAAATGGGGCAGAAGTGAAGCTGTTACCCCTAGCCACCATACTAGATGATTTATTTATAAGTTTACACTTGGCTGCCTTAGGTGCATTTTTTGTCAGCTCTATTGCAAAGATATTTCTCGATAGAATCTTCTGCTAGCTATCAGTGGAAGCAAAAAAACATGTACCCATTAATGACAAGGCAGCCTATGGCCATGAAATGTGTAGGGCTCCTTCTCTCCTGGATTGACCTGTTCCTTATGTTTATCTAGTCAGTTCCTTCTCTTTGTTACACCGCACTGCTATTGCTTATTTTTTCACGTTACTTGTTGATTAATGGATTGTTTTATTGATTCCCTTTTACATTTTTGTTTTGCTTTTTTTCCCTATTTACTTTTTCATTGTTTATTTAGTAGATATTGAATTGTGTCTGCAGTGATGAATCACTCTTTAATCACGTTGTCAACTCTATATTTATTTTTGTTCTTTAGTTATCTGTATTCTAGATTATTTGATCTCTTCATTTAAAGCTTCTGTCCCTTCTTTACTTTGGCCTGTGGCCAGACCATAAACAGTCAGATGGCTCACCGAGATAAATGGGTGGTGAGACCCTTGCCCATTCTTGATTGAGATTGTTGAAGCCATTGAGGACCTCTCAATTATGGAGGGTAATGCCCAATTTCCACAGGAAGAGGACACTGTCTTGACAGTGGGAGGTGCTTTATTTAAAAATATAAGGAGTCCACACCTCGGGCATCTGCGTCTCTTTCAGCAGAGCCACGTTATATGGACATTTTTTGAAAACACTCTTTTAAAGAGTACAAAATCCAACTGAGTCTGTGATGTAGATACTGGATTACTTGAAACAAAGGTTAAAGATGAGATAAGCCTATACAATGCTTTTGTGGTTCCTGGCGGCAGTATGAACAGTCACATAGAATTTTCGGCATCCTCGCATTACTGGTACCCAACATGATCTGATCTGACCCTCTGCTAACTTATGAATTTGTCACATGTGTGATATTAGTAGTTTCCTTTATCAACAGGGAACAGAGAATAGTTGGTGACCTGCTAACATAGTGGTTTTTTTAAGATATATCTAAAGCCAAAATGTAGTTTAAGTAGGAAAAGTATAAAACCCCTAACAACTTTCTTCTTGTTGTCTGTGTCACATCGGGAAGATTTCCCTTTGCTTCCTGACCCGGAGACACAATGGGAAGTGAGAAGAGGTCTCCCAATGTAGGGGAAATCCTCTCTTAGACAAATGTACCAGGAATAAGAGTCACCATTAGAAGATTTCTCATCTATTCCTGTCTTGGTAATAATTGAAACATTTTATATTTTCCCTCAATTTTAGTCCTGGTAACAATGATTACCAGGACAAATAAAGACAGCGTATCTCACAGACCCCAATAAGAATATCATAACTCTTTCTTCTCTATTAAAAACAAACAAAAAGGGTTGTCTTTAGATATACTGTAAATGTGTATTTGCTCAGATTTCTGGGAGGAGGCTACTGTTTTTAGTTTTATCCTATTTATTATGTGTTCACTGTATATTTATACACTTTGCTTAGCAGGTTTAGGCCTGGGTCTGTTTCCACAGGAATTAATTTCGTCCTACTTTGTATCTGAAATAGTTCTACAGTCCCAGCGTATCCTCTCCTGTTATAACATCAGCATTGTAATAGGAATACATACTAGAGTTGTTTTTGATAATACAATCATACAAGGCAGTTGTGGGTAGTCAGGCAATCATACAATCATAGCTTACTTGAAAAAAATACCTTTTATGTAGTAAGTGCTGCCTTCCATCTGCCCATCACTCTCACCAACTTCATGGGTTCCCATCGTGCTTTGCATCTCTTCCCCTGCTGCTTGATGTGATGCAATGCTTATTTCTCAAGACTACATATCACATAATGCATTGCTTCCAGCAAGCAATAATTATGTTACATTGTTCAGCTGTTGAGTTTAGTTCAGAAGTCAGGCTCTGTGAGAGCTGTCACACAAGGATGTATGTCAGTGCATTAAGGAAGTACATCCTATGGACATGTTCAGTAAGTAAGTCCACAAACTTCTAGATGGATATGGTTATTAGGAGTGGGATAGAACTTATGGAAATTCAATGTAGAAATACATATTTATTTTTAGATTTTGACGATGGATACCCTATAACTATACTATAAACTGATCAGTGCCTAGAATTATGTTTACTTGGCTATTATACACAGGAGATGAGTTTTCTCTGTGGATTTTAGGCAGGTGAGCTATGGTAGGTAGGTTCCCCTCTCTTGCTACACAGGGCTGAGTTGGCTGTGTAAATCTCAGGACTTGACGGAATGTAAATCTTATGGCAAACAAAGTTTTCATAGCTTTCATTTGTGTGTTTGCCTGGAGTTTAGCTTTAATTCCCTATTTTGCTTACACAGTTGAAGCTATATTATTGGCAGTGATATATAATTGTAAGATAACTGCAACAAGGGAAACATTGCATAATGCTATCCTTTTTGTCTCAGCACCCAATTGATTAACCATCCCGTTAATGAGCTGTGAAAAAAACAAAACCCTAAAAGCTATTGGTATTCTTGTTAAAACAGAGACGCTTGACATTCCCTGAGAAGTAATTGCCGTCACTTGCTTTAGATTTTTATGGCGCTGAAGTGTATGGTATGGGGAGAGGATCCAGTGTCTCCATCAAGGAACAGGTTTTTGTGATCTTGGCCAGAAAATTAGACTGAACACCTACCCATACCAATGTAATGACATAGGTCAGATGATCCAACCACCCCAATGATGGTGCTGCTCCTCTAAAAAGTAAACAGCAAACATAAAATGACAAACCCCTATGGTAATTCACCTTTACGGAGGTAGCAGGTACCAGCTGGACATCTAGAATATCTTCTTATGCTGCTGCTGTATGAGAAATATGACAGATATCAGAAGAAGGTCAATTGTGGCCCAATTTCTATGGGTATCATAAACAGTATCATGTGATTGAGCTGAAGGAGCTTTCTGCTTTACGTACTGTATATCTTGTACTAATGCTTTGAACATTCAATAGATAAAATATAATGGAGGGGTATTCATCAGAACGGGAGCAGACAAAATCTATAGTGGCTTTGCATTGCAGCCAATCAGTTTCTCTCTTTCATTTATCAAAGCTTAACTGAACAAACTGAAGAGAGAAGCTGATTGGTTGCCATACACAACTGCTCCAGATTCTGTCAGCTCCGGTTTTGATAAGTTCCCCCCAATATTTGTACTTTCTGCAGGACACAGTTTATCTTGCAAAAGCCTTACAAAAATTAACCCCTTATCAGGGTTTATATTCTTCCTGTATATAAGTGGGTAAGCAGCCTAAGCAGATTGGCATTTATTGCTTTTCATTAACCTAGAGGAAGTGTAGCCCTTCACCTTTTGTGAGGTGGTGTCAGGGATCCCAGCGCAGGTGACCCCACACCTGCACAGGTACCCTTACAGGCAGACCAAACACATGTGACCACACAGACCAGGTAAGTATGGTATATATAAATATTTTAATAAACCTAGCAAGCTAACTAAAACAATCCACAACAGGCATAAACCAAAAATGTAACAACACAGGAAACAGGGTACTAAAATAGCATGCAACTATCAGGGTCTCAGGGTTCAGGCCAGAGGACTCAGACAACAGGGGAAGCAACAAAATCCTGAGGCAAGGTCCAGACTGCAGGGAGGGTTTAAATACCCTCCCAGGAGCAATACCTAATGGGCTGATTCCTGGCAGCTGTGAGACACCCACAGGTGAGCACTGGAGCTGCAGGTACCAGCACCACCCAGTGGTGGTCTGGCACCTACCAGCCCCTGGCTGCCTGGAGAATCCTGCAGGTGAGCCCAGGAACTGCAGGGCTCAGCTCCAGCGCCACCTGGAGGCGCTCTGGATCCTAACAGGTGGCTACTAGAAATTTAGTGATTGGATCTCTTTCATCCAGTGTTGCATGCTGGGATAGGGTACACATACTGGAGGGAATTGCCATCCCATTGTAACCCACAATAACAAGTGACCAGTGGATTCCCTGAGGTAACCAACAATAACACATGACTGGGGTACAAGCTGGGGTCAACCACAATTAGCAGTGACAGGGGTACACCCTGGAATAGCTCACAGTAAAACCTGACGGGGGTACACACGGAGGTAATCCACAATATCCAGTGACGGGGA